AGGGGGGGTAATGAATTTGGCTTCTTTTTTTGTAATACTCCTGCTTGCCAGGTACTTCCCATAGAAATTTATTTCTCTCAGCAATCCAATGCCAAGAACCCCTTTGCTTCTTCAGTGGCACCTAGGATTCTAAATCAACGGATACCATGATATTTCTATGAATTTACTTTATTTCAGTGCATTAATGATCTTTGAGGCGCTCTTGGTTTTTCTCTTTCTCTCACTGCTCTCTTCATCCACTCAAACTATCAACAATTCTTAGGACTTTAATTCTAAAATATATTCCATGTTTATCTACTTTTGCCATCTTTGTAGCTTAATCCTACACTAGAGCCTTCTAACTTGACTTCCTGCTTCAACTCTTGCCCCTCTATGATCAGTTCTTCACACAGCAGCCTGAGCAGTCCTTGATGTAAATTTGATCGTATCCCTCTCCTGGTTTATTCAAACTATTCAGTTGCTTCCCATTGCCCTCAGAATAAAGTCCATACCTTTACTGTAGCCTGATGTGATCTGGCACGTCTGTCTGCTTGACTTCATTTCACATCATGCTCACCTAGCTCACAGCTCCTCAGTCACGCTGGCTTGTGGTTCCTTAACACACTGGTGTGACTGTGATTGGGCCTCTGCCCAAGTGCTCTGCTCTTAATATCTGCTTGACTGCTTCTTCCTCATCATTCAGGTTTCAGCTCATGTCTCTTGAGAGAGACCTTTCCTGATATTCCCCCACCCACTCCACTCCACTCCACTTATTTTTATTTTTGCTTAGAGAGAGAGGAAGGGAGAGAGAGAAAAAACAACATTGATTTGTTGTTCCACTTAATGCATTCATTGGTTCCACTTATTAATGCAATCTTGGTATATCGGGATGACACTCTAACCAACTGAGATACTCTTATTTCTTTTATCTTACTCATTGTAATCAGTAATTGTCTCATCAATTATTTCTTTACTATTATCTGTCACACACACTGTAATAAAAGCTTCAAGATGGTGAGGACCTTGTGTCTGGTTCTTTATTGCATTTCTATGGCCTAATGTAGTACCTGACACCCCAGTAATTGTTTAATAAATTGAGTATACTTATTGAACAGAAACCAGCACAGTCATTTTAAATCTTTACTCTGCTGCTTGCAGTAATTTTTTTTAAATTAAATCTTTATTTTTCAGATTATTACAGCTGTTCCTCTTTCTTCCCCCCATATCTCCCCTCCACCCGGTTCCCACCCCCCCCTCTGCCCTTCCCCCCCCCCCCCCCCCCCCCCCCCCCTCCGC